ATAAAAACTTCAATAAAGCGTTATAGCACTCAAATCTTTATATAACTGTAAAAAAAGGTGGTTTAAAAAGAGCTTTGGGGCCATTTTTATATTAAACGGACCCAATGAACAACACACTCCCTCTTCTCCAATGTTGTTTTGTGTAATTGAACGCCAAAAGCCACAGAATTGGCTCTATTTGCCAGGAAATAAACCTGCACATGCACAGAGTAGCTGTTGGGATGTGGGACACTGCTGCCTTGGTTGGGTGGCTCAGACACAAAATGTAATATGATGCAATATTTGTGATAGCCCCAAGATCTCAGCGGTATTCTGCAGTAATAGTACGGCTTTGATTGATGGAAAGCTCAGGGCAAAATGTCGGTGCCTTCGAGGTCTTCATCGAGCAAGAGAAATTTGTTACTTTCTGAAGCTCATCTTTAAGTGTTGATGTGACATTTCAATCTATCTGTCTGTCTGCCTGGGTTTTTCCTCTGAAAAGTTTCATCTCCGCACTCAGGTCCCAAAGGTTTTAACTGTATTCACTCCTTTGCATTTAATTACAAACCCGCAATGTGTGTGCACACCGACCAACAAACACACACACTAATATCACTCATTGTCAGTTTTCTCCACGGATCCTGGTCTGTTCAAGCTTTGGTTTGCGTTGTCTGTCTCCCGCTCTCTGTCTCTTTGTGTGCGGGATGATGTGTGGGTGCGCGTGCGTGTGTGTGTGTGTGTGTTTGTGTCTGTTTGAACAGGGCTTTGCGTTTGCTTGTGCAGGCACTCTGAAGCATCTGTGTTTACCGTCTCGACAGAGAGCGAGAGACTGAGAGAGAGAGATTGAGATAGACAAACTGTGGACACACACAGGCATGCCAGCCTCTGCGGTGAAAACAAACGTTCCTTTGCCAGTCTTCCCACACTCCCTCTCTCCCTCTCTTTGTCTGTCTCTCTTTCTGCCTGTTCTTCCATCTCTTACACATTCTCTGTGTGGACCATATGGCTTGAAACTTTAATGGGCCTGCCATGTTTCTAGTGTCTTTGTTTAAATAAAAGTCATCATAGCAATACCACTAGTGTGCATATATTAGAGTCGCCCCAAAACGGATAACCTTGGATCCAACTTAACAAAATCAAAAACGGACTGGCAATCAATTTTGACTTTAACACCAAGTCCTGACTTCCTGACTGATCTCCCTATGAGCCCAAAATGGAGTCTTTTGGGACCAGCAGCTTACACAGACAGACACAAGACAGAGCAGGCAAAGATGCTGCTCTCATACAAAAGGATTTTTGAAAAGATATTGTATTTGAATGGGGGAAAAGACTTGTAAAGTTTAGAGACTTAGTACTTATGTGCCTTTCTGTGGGACTCAACCAGGGCAGGAATTTCATGAGGACCATGAAGGCCATGGCCCACACCCAGTTGCATTGGGATGCTTGAGCAGCCTAAACAAGAGTGAAAGAGATGCGTCGGCTCACTTTGATTATGTACCAGCCAACATCCTCCTCCTCAAGATCCTCAATACTACTTCAACTGTTAGTCAAGGTTTTGCAGCTGAAGTGGTAAAAGGCAACGACAATGAGAAGATAAGCAAGGTTTGGTTTTGGCTGGCTGGCTATTAAGCACCGTGTTGATCTGATTTGATAAAGTCGATGCAAATGTCAAGCGAGAGAGAGGGAGTGTGATTATGGACCTGTGTGTACCTGATATAAAAACAACTTTACTTCATTATGAAGCCTAATGTTACTCCACAGTTCTGTGTTTTATTAGTGAATTGTGTGAACCACTCTGCAGACTGGAGTCTGTTAACAGTGACAGACAGACAGATATGCTCGTCTCCTCTATGAAATGTCTGTATCTTCACTGCGCTGCGTCATTATAAACTATGATGAACTGGTTGTGTCACATCTCTCTCTCGTCCAGACGCGGTCCCTCCCTCTTCATCTCCTGCAAGGATCTCAAATTGTTGTTAATTTTTGTTGACAACTATTATATATCATTATTATATAAATAAATGAAATAAAAATATAATCATCCTTAACCCTTAAAATAAATGTACAGTTTCTGTGGACTTTGTTGGCCTTGCTGCCATGGCATTTGGTCGTTGTGCCCTCAAAAACCTGACAACACCAACACGTGTCTGTCTTGACTTGGCATTGACTCTTTTAACTTGGAATATTACTCGGGACTGGTCTGTCCTGACTCTGGTCTTGATTTAGGACTTGAGTGTCTTATTGTTTTTTATTAAACAGACAGCAGTGCGGTCCAGTAGAGAAATCCAGTCTGAGAGGACACAATGACAGTCCTATTCATACACTCTGTCGCTGTTATGCTATTGCTCTTGATGTTAGATGTGGACGTATACATCTGAGCCGAGAGCGTCTTCGCAGAAAATAATCTGTACTTTTCTCATGTCTAGACAGCATCTCTTTATTTGAGTATTATCCTTGTGCAGTTTCTGTTTTAATGTAACACGTTCTAGCCTTAATCTATCTACATTCCTCTCTCTCCCAAAACTCTGTCTGTCCTCTCCTTAGGCCTACGTCTTCCTTTTTCTTTATGTTTCTCTCTTTCCCCTGTTCATCACTTACCCTTTTTTATGTCCCTCTCCCCACTCCCCTGTCTCTGTCTCTTTTTCTGCCTTTTAGCCAGTTGTTTGTGTCTGCTTTTGACTGACAAAACTTCAGTCTTGGTGACACAAAGTAAACAAAACTGTGTATAAGGAGGCATGAGGAGGTCAATACAGGCATACACAGAAGTATGTGCGCATGTGGTCTGTTTTCATTTAAATTTTGTTCACACTGCGCTTCATCTGTGTATGTGCGTGTGGATGTGTATTTGTGGGGTAGAAAAGAAGTTTGTGAAAGAAAGTCAATGAATAAGAAAGAAAGAAAAAAACATAGATAGATAGAAAGAAAGAGCTGTCTGAGACTTTTGTCTCCCTCTTAATGTCCTATCAGGACTTTGGGAGCGGGCGTTAGTTCACTGTTATTGTTGAGCCGAGGTAGCTGTGGAAAACTAGCTACAAGGTCATAGGCCTTGTGTGTGTGCATGTGTCTGTCTACACATGTGTGTTTAGTCTTCAGAATGTCTGACAAGGTCCAAGTGCCGAAGGGACAGGGCTGAACATGTTCTGAATACAGGACTGTTATTTTCCAAAGCCCCTCCAAGGTGTCACTTCTGTGATTCCATGAAGAAAAAGGATTAATTGTTAACATCATTAAAGTCAAATCAGAGATTGGTCATATTACTGCTACTGGCAATTTCAAGTATACTCATCACTTTAATATTGGCATATGAGTTTATTTAATGACTGACTCCCCAAACAGCTACCATATTAAAAGTGAACATGCACAGTTCTCTGCAGCTCCCACAATAGCTCAATACATAAAACATTTTGCTTCTCTTGCTCTCTGATCACTAGTCAGGATCAGAGACTACTCATTCCGTGCACCCACGACTATTTATGAGGAAGCAAAGTGCATAAGTTCTTCTCTGATGAAAATCTTAAAACTTAGCCCATGCTAATGTTGCTTTGCAATTGAACAAACACGGGAAAACCACAAACAAAAAAAACAGCAGTTAGCAGTTTTACTTGTACTGACCTCAAAAAAAGCCATGTTGCTTCTGTTATTCTATCATTTATCCAGACACTTGTTCCCTTATGGGGCCATTGATGGGAAAACAAGAGTATTTTCCAAAATATTTTGTATTTATTTTCATAAACCTACAGGATGTTATATGTATCAAGGTTTTTCCTGGCTCAAAATTAGGCAGAGGTGGTACCATCCTGACGCTAGCAGCTGTGTGTGGCTGTAATGCTCATTGTAAAAACAATCAAACTGTAAGAAAGATCAACCAGTACATGTATTGGACTAATTGAAAAGTCAGGAATCACCAGTAGGATTCATCTCATTGAGACAATGGAAATCTGTACCAAATGTCATGGCAATCCATCTAATAGCTGTTGGGATATTTCAGTCTCGACCAAAGTAGTGGACTGACATTACCGTCCCTGCTAATGGTGAGGTTAAAAACATCCACTTAAGAATGAGCTGAGCCTGCCGAGATCTGTACATCACCAAACATCCAACCATAGGGATTGTGCTCTAACTTGTCGGCTTTTAATGAGCAACTATTTCTATGTCAAATTTATTTCAGAAAATGTATTTGGTGGATAGTTAATGGGATCTAGTAATATTTCTACCGTGCTTTTTCTGTTTCAAAATTACAAGCAGCACCTAGCAAGTGCTGCATTCGTCTAGAAGGTTCAAAGTTGATGTATGAGTGATAAAACTGTCAATCTGTGGTATCGGAAACAACCTCTCAAGCAAATCATAATGAGCCTTGTCAGACCACTGCAGAAGAGCATTTGTGGGCCGACAGTTCACGGCTTAGTGATCTGGATTAGGCTTGGGCAGTTTGTGTTTTTTCAGACCTTCATACCTTCCTGACCTTTCACCGGGGTATACATTATATGACGGTATTTATGTACAAAAAAAAAAGAAAAAGAAGCTGAGCTGCTGGTAATAGACATCACTGTAGCATGTATGCCATTGTCTAGCCTACAACGCTGTGTGTCTAATATGTAGTTAGCCTACTTACACACAACTTGCTGGGTTTGAATACTTAGTTCTTAAATATTCATTAATCAATGGACCGTAAACGCCCTTCTTCAACAGATTCTTGCTGGAGTACCCGATGACACTTTTGGTGGATACTGACACAACAGTGGGTTGAACGGAGATGACGCACGCACAGCTTCTTCTGTGTTGCTTGGCTCACCTGTATCATCAAAACAGAACTCAAAATACTTGTTCTTTTTTACTATTCCACCATTCGCAGTTGCCGTCGAGTTGTCCTTTTTGTGGACAGTAGTACCTTGATATTGCCCAAGTCTCATCTGGATAAACATTTTCAGGGAAAATGGACTTCAGAAAGATCATGGTTTTCTAAAGCAATGCCATTTGTTTTCAGTATGTTAACATTAAATCCTTCCTTCGTTTGTTTCTAGATCATTGATGAGGATGACACACAGTTCATGACCAACTGTGCCCCTGCAGTGACAGAGAGCACACCTCGCAGACGCACCAGGATTCAGGTCTTCTGGACGGCGCCACCTACTGGGACTGGCTGTGTTATACTAAAGTGAGTTTAATTTTTGTCAAATTTTTCTCCTACCTTTTGAATTAGATTATACTTTTGAGAGGCCTTTAATATGGTGCCATTGTTCCAAAAACTGCAATATCATCTGCATATATCCGCATATATCTGCATATCAGAAATTTAAAAATTGAGGTTACTATTGTAGTTGGTTGAGTTGGAGCAAGTTTTAACTTTATACAGTTTGATAGATCAGTCCAGTGGTTCCCAACCTAGGGGTTGGGCCCCTCCAAAGGGTCATAAGATGAATCTGAGAGGTCGTGAGATTATTAATGGGAGAGGGAAAAAAAAAAAAAACTCCTGATATGCAAATATCTTGTACTTGGTTACTTTTCACCACTGTTCCCACTGAACATTTAATCCATTTTGTGTTTAAAAAGTTGTAAAACAATAAGTGAAATGATCATGAGAGTGTGTTTTTCTCCAGCATTAAAAGGCTGTTCAGAAGTTGACTCTCAAGTCTCAGATGTGGAGACCTGAAAGTAGGGCAGCTGGTTTACTGCAAAAATCATAATGATTGTTTTGGTCAATATTGTGATCACGATTATTCAACATGATTTATAGTGCTGACCTGAATGTTTTGAAGCATCTACTTTTGCCATGGTCAAAATGTCAAAATCAGTATTCAAATGCCTCTGGGTTTTTATAGCCCATGAAATAAGAAATAGAAATTCAACATTATTAACATTAAACTGCATCTTAGAGCACAAGAGGACCACAGCAACGCAGTGTTTCCCATAGGTTGATAGGCGGATTGGCCACAGGGGGCTTAGCACACATACGGAGTGGAGTAGAGGAGAGAATCAAAATCAGAATTAGCTTTATTTGCCAGGTATGTGAACACATAAAAGGAATTTGACTCAGGATTGTACATCACGATATGCTTACTCATACAATAATACAATAACACAATAATAAAATCAAACACAGGCTACAGTATAGAGAACACAAATATACACACTATAAACAAAAACAATATAGACAGATTGACAAATGGTGCAGTGAGCAGAGTGCAAAGGATGCCGGAGTAAATTAATATTATCATTATTATTATTATTGCTATGTACATGTCGGAGGTGGATGTGATATACAGGTACACATACACATACATGCATACATGTAAACAGTTTGGTATACAGTATATACAATATGAAAATATAACAATATGAACAGTATGGACAGCTCTGAAATAGAGAATGATGAATAATAACAATTAGTGTTAACCAGTAAACAGTTGGCTCATTAGAGGCAGAGATACTGGGTTATTGCACAGGAATTGTTCCTGACACTGTGAGTCAGCTGATTATCAGAGTGATGGCTTGTGGGAAGAAACCGTTCCTGAGTCTGTTGGTTTTGGCGTACAGTGCTCTGTAGCGCCTACCAGAGCTGGAACAGGTTGTGTCCGGGTGAGATGGATCTGCAGTGATTTTTTTCATGCCCGTTTCCTGACTCTGGAAATGTAAAAGTCCTGAATGGAGGGCAGGTTGGCACCGATGATCTTTTCTGCTGTCCTGACAGTCCATTGTAGTCTGTCCCAGCTGCTCCTAAGGCAGGTTGAGCTTCCTCTCCTGGGCCTTCTTGATGATGGTGTCCGTGTTGGGCTCCCACTTTAGGTCATGGGATATGGTGGAACCCAGAAACCTGAAGGTTTCCACAGCAGACACAGGGCCATTGAGTATGGTGATGGGGGGAAGAGTGGGGGGGCTCCTCCTGAAGTCCACAATCATCTCTACAGTTTTGAGCGTGTTAAGCTCCAGGTTGTTCTGACCGCACCAGAGAGCCAGCTGATCAACCTCCAGTCTGTAGGCCGACTCATCACCGTCTCGGATGAGGCAGATGACCGCTGTGTCGTCAGCAGACTTCAGATGGATGGGTCTCCTGAGGTGCAGTTGTTGGTGTAGAGGGAGAAGAGCAGTGGGGAGCCAGTGCTAATAGTCCGGGTGCTGGATGTGATGTTCCCCAGTCTCACCTGCTGACTCCTGTCAGTCAGGAAGTCTGTGATCCACTGACAGGTGGAGGCTGGCACAGTGAGGTGGGTGAGTTGGTGCTGAGGATGTCCGGGATGATGGTGTTGAACGCCGAGCTGAAGTCCACGAACAGGATCCTTGCAAATGTCAGTCTCAAGTTGACTGCATCATCCACAGACCTTTTAGCCTTGTAGGTAAACTGCAGGGGGTCCAGCAAGGGGCCTGTAATGTCCTTCAGGTGGGCCAACACCAGTCTTTCAAAGGACTTCATGACTGCAGATGTCAGGGTGACAGGTCTGTAGTCATTTTAGTTCAGAGATGGAGGGTTTCGAAACGGGATGATTATGGAGCATTTGAAGCAGGAGTCGAACTTCACAGCTCCAGTGATCTGTTGAACATCCGTGTGTAGATGGAGGCCAGCTGGTCTGCACAGATTTCAGATTTTTAGAGACAGGTGAAATTAACGTTAGTCAAGTTAAATGTAACTCATTACATTTTAGTGCGGGCAGGCAAAAATGGAGGACTTTAAAACAATCTGGCTTCCTGATTGGGTCTTATTAGCCATGCAAAGCAAAAGCACGATGCTACTGATAGAGTTTATGTTTTGATATTTTTATTGAAATATTTTGTACACTTATACACTTGGACTGTGCATGTTGCCGTATTTACTTTGCGATGTCTGTTTTCACCGCCACAGTCACTTTGGACTCCCGTGTTACTTTCAGTAAAAGTTCCACCTCATTGTTTGTTCATGCAAAAAATATTTGGTGTGGTTCATCGTCTCTATTATTAATTTCTTCTTTCGCCATATCTTCTGCAACTCTGGAGTAGACAATCTGCTTCACGCATGCCCAATGTATGTGAACGGCCACTAGATGTGCGTTTTCTGTCGTTAGATCAATTCTGATATGCAGCTAAAACGCTGGTGTGGACAGAGATCGTTTTTGTTTTAAAACTTAAATGAAAATGCAGTAGTGTACATGTGAGTAAGTCCCTGCTCACTGTGTCTGTGACATAAAATAAATGTGAGAAAAGGTGTGACAGTGAGACAGTGAGACAGTGAGTTTACTCAAGCAGGTTTCAAGTCTCTGCAAGTTGTAGTTCATGCTCTGACAAAATTAATAGAAATCAGTAGCTGCCTAAAAGAAAGGAAATAGATCTCAAAACCATATGGTGTGCTTTTGATAATGGAGAGTACTAATGGAAAGCATTTTATTGGTAAAATTAAAAATCAGCAGTATGATCCATCAAGTTATATAATTCCACAACTGTAGGAGCACTTAATCTACAGTTTCTTTTTTTTTTACTCGCACATAGCAGAATGCATAAATCTGGACTGCTTCACTACCAATGCACATTGGTGTTGCATGTTTTTTTTGTTTTTTTTAGAGAGAGTTGTTACTGGTTATAGACAGGCAGCACCTGCCCGACCTATTTGCTGAAAAAGCAATTGCATATGGCCCTGCAAATGCTCTTTTTTGTTAATAAAGAAAGTTGCTGGGAGACATAAAGCCAATCAGTGGCTCTGACCCAGAACCACCCCCCCTCCAAATGAAAGGAAATATGTGACTACATCACCCAAAGAGAGGGGAGCTTGCATGTTTTCGCAGTTTACAGTTTACACACCGGAGAACTGTCACAGATGGCAGGGAGAGAGAGAGAAAGTGAGGTTGACTCTGTCAACAGGACTTAATTTTACCGGCAGCGTCATCACAAGGGTAAAATGGTCCGATCATTTAAATGCAGAAGTACCGAATTGCCTCTGACAATATTTATTGAATGAAGGCGTGTTTACTACAAATGTGTGTTTGTGTATAATGTCATGTAGGGTTTATGCCTTTTTTTTATATATTGTAGGAATGTTCTCGCCACATTTCTTTGGTCATGTTGTCCTCATAAAACAAATAATAGTTATATGTATACTTAATCTATTTAAATGTTTTTTTTCATAGCTCTCTGCTCCAGCCAAAGTAAAGACAACCCTCAAAGAAAGTCTTGCCTAGGGCCCCCTGTTGTCTAGAGCTGGGCCTGTAGGCAACGCATTAAGTGAGTTAATGCCAGGTGTTTCTCCAGAAGCCATGACGCACCGTAGCTTGTGTAAAGGGACCAGCTCTACAACAAAGAGACTGATGTTGATTATTTGGGCAATTTGTGGTTTGCAATGTGTTCTTTCTAGAGTGGGGTGTGTGTGTGTGTGTGTTTGTGTGTGTGTGTGACCTCAGTTTTATGTGGTTGTGTGAGATGGCAGCTACAAATGACACTGAATACTGAATACTACTGCAAACATGAATACATGAAATATGTAAAATACACTGTATCAGATCAAAGGGTTTGTATTGTTTCACCTGGGCACACATTAAATGAGCATTAACTGCTTAGTTTTGTGTCCCTCCATGCATTTTATTTTAGATATTTGAGTGTTTCCTCGCGAAACAGCATGGTGTTGTGGAACCAGTGGTGTGGTGGTAACTGAAGCAGTGTGTATAATATGAATATTAATGATTGGAAGAGCTTGATTCAGGTGTTAAAGAAGATCCTGGCCAAGAAATCAGCCAGCTAGATATATCAGCTGATATTAGCTTGTCTGCAGTATATGTCTGACAATAAGAAGTAAGGAATTACAATAGAGAAATGAAAATATATTTTTCACGTAATTTAGATTTTATTATTGCATATCACCTTTTAAAGTTGATATGGATAACATGTTAGCAAATATTTATGCATTCAGCAGACATACAACATTACTGCAGCATTTAACTCAAAAAATATCTGGCTCTTAAGAGGTTAAATACTCTACTAGCTTGTTGCTAACTTGCTAGCAGGGTGTCCGTGGGGTCTTAAAAAGTCTTAAAAGTGAATAAATCAATTTTGAGAAAATTAAGGCCATTAAAAAGTATTAAAAAGTCTTAATCGCCATTTAACAAGGTATTAAATTTTGAAAATATTTTTTTCAATGTGAAAATCCTGTATGTCCAAAAGTTTGATTGCTGACAGTGTAGGTGAATGTATTTATTTATA